CGGTCGCTCCCAGGTGCTAACTACAAGTGCCAAGTTAGAAATTGGTGTTAGGACTGTTAAAGTACATTTTTAATTCTGTATTACATATTGCAGGTTTTATTTTTTCTTTTTGAAAATTAGATAATTCAAAGATGGCAGAACTATTTATGGAATGTGAAGAAGAAGAGCTGGAACCATGGCAGAAGAAAGTAAAAGAAGTTGAGGATGATGACGATGATGAGCCAATCTTTGTGGGAGAGATATCAAGTTCAAAACCAGCAATTTCAAGTAAGCCTTAGCTTTCAGTGAAGCCAAGTTTTTATAAGATATTGTTTCTAATGGAAAAACTTACGGTCTGTGTCATATGTCCTTGTTCCTCTGTAAGGAGTTGAGGATGAGAGATTGGGTAGGAGATCAGTAGGAACTTGAAAATTAGGGGTAGGGGATGTGGTTGGGGACTTGAAGGAAGTGAGAGGTTAAAATATTAGATGTGAGAAAAGAGAAATGGGCTAACATTACCTGGCGGCATTAGAAGCCTTCTGAGATTGGAAAATCATAATTTTTTGTGGAGCAGAGTAATCTCTTTATTCATTCATGTTTCTTTTTTCCTAAAGCCCAGAAGTAGAGAAAAGGAGGGACATGGAATGCTTCCCTTAAAATGTCAGAATATATTATATAAGTTTGTTTCAGTCTCTGATGAGGGTTTTCATATCCAGGCAACAGTCTTTCACAGTGTCATCTGATGATGGCTACAGTATGCATAGGCTGTGAATCATTACACAGTCTCTGGACTTTGTACCAACAGGGGCTGTAGCTTCTGGTCACACCCATCTTCTAGGAACTTCTGTTTATATTTTTGAAAGAGGAGGGAATGGTGTACAGCTACTGTACTTGCATGATGTAGCTGTCAGTAAGCTAATAGAACTCATGAAAAGTTTTTAACGGCTTTCTAGCAGAACCTCGGTACCATTGTGGGTTATTAGAGTAATTGAACTTACCATTGTTATAATGTTCAAGTGAAGATCCTGTTGATACTTGTTAAAATGTCTGCCTCAAAATGTGTAAAAGTACAGAGAAATAATGTACAGAATTTCAGGTGAGAACGAGAAAACAAATCCTTTCTTATTTCATTTACATGTTTTTTTTTTTTTTTTTATGTCAGGAGAATTTTCCAAAGAACGTAACCAACATACTACTTTTTTCTTACTTACCGTAGTAGTGCTTAAAAGTGTGATTAAGAGGCTAGTTTTAAATTTTTCTGAAAACCTAGTTCTTATTTCTCTTGCCGCTAAACTTGGAATGGTGCTTTTGTTTAATTTTATCAGAGGAGAATGATTTAACCAATTGAATTCTCAACACCGTTTTCTGCGGCAGATTGGTAATCTCTCATCGAGGTGCTAAGTAGAATGCCACTTCCGTTATAATATGAACTAGGTATGTTAGGGGGAGCCCTGGTGTTGCAGTGGTTAAAAGTGGTTGGCCGCTAACCAAAAGGACGGTGGTTTGAACCTGCCAGTTGCTCCGCGGGGGAAACATGTGGCAGCCTGCTTTGTAAAGATTTACAACCCTGGGAGCCCTATGGGGGCAGTTCTGCTCTGTCCTGTAGAGTTGCTGTGAGTTGGAATCAACTCAGTGGTGGTGACTTTTAGGCATGTTAGCATGCTTGTTGATGTTAGTGGATATTATAGTCTCTTAATTATTGTTTCCTAGTCGCTGTGATTATTTTATGCTGGAATATTACCATACTGCAAAATCATTATTCAAATTCTCTTATTGAAAACATGACAATTAAGATTCAAACTGAATTTACACTGATTGTAGGTGACTGTTAACACTGTTCAACTAGAACAAAGTATATTGGTTTTAAAATGATTCTTTCAAAAAGGGGATTGACCCTCGTAGAAGTTCTCTTCTAACTTGTTGAAATACCGAATTTAAGTGATTTTATTGCCTTCCTATGTGTAAGCCATAAAATATTTTAGCATATGGAATATGAGTTAAATGTTTATATAGAACTGCCATGGACAGGGGAAGGTATCAAAAACTTGTGTTTGGTAGATTACCGTTGGCAGAATGTGCTGTAGGAATAGAACAGCTCTTTGATGGTTTGAGTAAATATTTAATCTTCAGTTTCTGAGAGAAAACAGTATCAAGTTGTTTGAGCAGATATTTCTCCTAGAAAATGTCTATGTTTAGCTACAGGGCATTGGATTGCCATTATTAGAAAAGAATCCTACTTTTCTAATGTGACCCTTTATAGAATTATTTAAGGGGTGTTATGAATTGAATTGTGTCCTCCAAAAATATGTGTTATAATTCCTAACCTCTGTGTCTGTGGTTATAATTACATTTGGAAATGAGTTATCTTTGTTACCTTAATGAGGTAGGATTAGTGTAAGGGTGGGTCTTGAGTCAGTTTCTTTTGAGATATAAAAGAGATTAAACAAGCAAGCACGAGAAGCAGCAATGGGGGGAAGATAGATAGATGCCAAGCCACATGGAGATTTCCAAGGAACCAGGAAACAAGCTGAAGAGACAAGGACCTTCCCCCAGAGCCGACCGAGAGTGAAAGCTTTCCCCTATGGCAGGTGCCCTGATTTTGGACTTCTGTTGTTGCTAGGTCCTGTCCACTCAGTTCCGACTCATAGTGACCCCATGTACAACAGTACAAAACACTGCTTGGTCCTGCACCATCCTCACAGTTATTGCTCTGCTTGAGCCCATTGTTGCAGCCACTGTCTCAGTTTATCTCGTGAAAGGTCTTCCTCTTCTTCGCTGACCCTCGACTTTACCAAGTGTGATGTCCTTCTCCAGGGACTGGTCCCTCCTGATAACATGTCCAAAGTATGTGAGATGAAGTCTTGCCATCCTTGTTTCTAAGGATCATTCTGTCAGTACTTCTTCCAAGACAGATTTGTTCATTCTGGCAGTCCATGGTATATTCAATATTCTTCACCAGCACCATAATTCAAAGGCATCAGTTCTTCTTTGGTCTTCCGTATTCATTGTCCAGCTTTCGCATGCATATGAGGCAATTGAAAACACCATGGCTTGGGTCAAGCACACCTTTGCTTTTTAACACTTTGAAGAGGTCTTTTGCAGCAGATTTGCCCAATGCAGCGTGTCATTTGATTTCTTGACTGCTGCTTCCGTGGGCGTTGATTGTGGATCCAAGTAAAATGAAATCTTTGACAACTTCAGTATTTTCCCTGTTTATCATGATGTTGCTTAATAGTCCATTTGTGAGGATTTTTGTTTTCTTTATGTTGAGGTATAATCCATGCTGAAGGCTTTAGTCTTTGATCTTCATCAGGAAGTGCTTCAAGTCCTCTTTGCTTTCAGCAAGCAAGGTTGTGTCATCTGCATATCACAGGTCGTTGATGAGTCTTCCTCCAGTGCTGATGCCGCGTTCTTTTTCATATAGTCCAGCTTCTCGGGATTATTTTCTCAGGGTACAGATTGAATAAGTATGGTGAAAGAATACATCCCTGATGCACACCTTTCCTGATTTTAAACCATGCAATATCCCCCTGTTCTGTTGGAACAACTGCCTCTTGGTCTATGTACAGGTTCCTCATGAGCACAATTAAGTGTTCTGGAATTCCCAGTCTTCCCAGTGTTATCCATAATTTGTTATGATCCACATAGTCAAATGCCTTTGAATAAAACACACGTAAATACCTTTCTTGTGTTCTCTGCTTTTAGCCAAGATCCATCTGACATGAGCAATGATATCCCTTATTCCAAAGGTCATAGCTATTGGAAACCCTATTGATCCCTTGTTCCGAAGATCATAGCCATTGAAAACCTGACTGATCATAGTTCTAGTCCGACACATATGGGGTTGCCTTGAATCGGAATTGATTCGATGACAACTGGTTTGGTTTTTTTGATTTGATTCTTTTCTACTAGAAGGGAAAAAAGGAAATTTTTATGAAGTGTTTTCTTTGTGCTTCTTACCTTCTCCTGACCAGCAATTTTAGGCAGATCCCCACTATTCCAAATTTTAGTTTAATTCCTGAATAACCTGGAAATTACAGAGTTTACATGCTTGCAAGAGTAAGGAACCAGAAAGTCACATCAGTCCCAGATTGACTTTTGGGGTAATTTGAGATTCCTTAAGTTATAAGATATTCTAGTAAACTCTTGGTTTAATTTAGTCTGTAGTCTCTGATAGTTACCTTTTCTGAACTCAGGAGTAATTGTGCAGATAATCCAGTCAGATTCTCAACAATGAAACTTTCAGGCTTTTAGGGATGTGAATGGGATATGGAGTTTGGAGAAGATTTTGATTTTGAGTCCTAGGTAACTGAGTATATGTACAGCCTTGTCACTATTCAAGAAAAGAAATATTCTTCAATTATTTGTTGTACATGGATATGTTTTTGGAAAATTTTTACTACGTGGAGTACTTTCTGCCATGCAGAACGTTTTGACTTTTACTTCTGGATTTTGGATTTTGAGTTACAGTTAGAAAAGTTGTCTTTATTCTATGAGACAGTGAAGGCTAGTAACGCGTCTTTTGTTTCCTTAGTAGTGTTTATTTGCTCAGGATTAGCTGTGATCTTAAATCAGTGATAATTTATATACTCCTTCAGGAATGTGCAGTCATTTTCAATTCATGAGTTCTATTATCTTAATATGTATTTCATTCAAACAATCAGTTTTAAAATAAATACCATTTTTTTATAGATATTTTGAACAGAGTTAACCCCAGCTCATATTCAAGGGGAATAAAGAATGGCGCACTCAGTCGAGGTACAGTATTTTTGTACTTTTTAAATTTTGAAGTGAAGTATTCTTACATAATTGATTCTATAGAAATGTATTCAATATGTTGTGTAATTTTAAAATACAGGTATTACTGCTGCATTCAAGCCTACAAGTCAACACTACACGAACCCAACATCAAATCCAGTGGCTGCATCACCAGTAAATTTTCATCCTGAATCTAGATCTTCAAATAGTTCTGTTATTGTTCAGCCATTGTCTAAACCTGTAAGTGTTTCTAAAATTACACAGTGAGCTCAGGGATATATTGGATATTATTTATCAGTAGCAATAATAACCAGCTAAAATTCTGGACTATTAGAGCTAGTCACCATTCCAGTAGAAGCACAGTCAGCGTCAGAAGGGATCATTTTTATGAATAGCTTAACCAGCACTCAAAGTAATAACTGCAGGAACTAATTATCCATCCTGTTAATAAATCAAGTAGTATGCTTAAGTTAGGTATAGTATTGAAAATTATGCTATCAAAACATGAATAAAAGTACAGTCAGTAATGAAAATTGCATAATGGCAAACTAAGATTGTAAACTAGGCCAGGTGTTCTTAATTGGGAAAATGGTTCAAAGGCCATTGTTGCTTTTTATTTGGAAAAATACCTTCACAGTTTGGTTAGTTTTAAAAACTGTTAACAGAAGTAATAGATAATGGTAATAGTTAACATTTATTGAGCTATTAATATGTGCAAGGCTTTGTACTAAATGCTATACATAAATTAATCTCTTCATTTTTACAACATCTCTATAAGGTAGGCACTATTTTATCCCCATTTTATAGTTGGGGAAACTGAGGCTCACACAGGTTAAATGATTCACTCAAGGTCTCACAGCTGGCAAATGAAGAATCTGGGATTTCAATACGGGCTAATCCACAGTTTTTTATATGTATATAGGCAGTCCCCGGATTATAAACAAGTTCTATCCCTAAGTCTGTCTTAAAGTTAAATTTGTTTGTAAGTCGGAACAGTTAGGTACGGTTCATATCTAACATCAGTTATTCAAATATTTGTCTCATTATACAGTATGCAGTGTACTTTTCTGTGCATAAAAAACATTAAACAAACACATATACACTTAAACATCTTTAACGTAATAATACAGTAATAATAATGTTTCGATGTGCATCACAGAATAACGTCTGTTTCTTATTATGAACCACTGTATGTACCTTGAATTTTTAATATAATAGGCTTTACTGGGGTTGATTTGTAGCTAGGAATTGTACGTAAGTGGGACATTTGTAACTCAGGACAAGAGTTCAGTCCCCGGGTTAAGAATTCCCAGTTTATGGACAACTTGTACTTAACAATAGACTTGCCATAAAGCCTATTGTATTAAAAATTTTAGTTAAATACAGTGATTCATGATAAGAACACATGGGCTACTCTCATTGCGTGGCTTCAGGGGGTTATTGGCTCGTGGAAGGAGAATGCCATCCGCCTTTTTAAGTTGGATCACGTTGCGGAATAACACTGTGTTGAGTGTGTAACTTTGTATGTGGCTTAAATTCTCTCTTATTTACCCTTGTAACCATGCCTCCAAAGCGTAAATCCGATGCAAGTGCTGGTGATGCATCGAAGAAAAGGAAAACGATCACGATTGAAAATAAAGTGGAAATAATAAAACGATCGGAAAGAGGTGAAACGCCATCGGTCATTGGAAAAGCGTTAGGCTACAGTCGGTCAACGGTTGGAACAATTTTAAAGGATAAAGTGAGAATAATGGAGCATGTGAAAGGCTCTGCCCCGATGACAGCTACAATTATTACTAAGCATCGCAGTGATTTACTTATTGAAATGGAAAGGCTATTGGTAATCTGGTTAGACAATCAAAATCAGTTTAATATGCCTATTAGCCTTACTTCAGTGCAAGAAAAGGCTCGAAGCCTTTTCAATGATTTAAAAGCTGCACGGGCAGCAAGTGAAGGTGATTGTGAGGAAGAATTTGTTGCAAGTAGGGGTTGGTTCAATCGTTTCAAAGTGAGGGCAAATTTACATAATATTAATTTACATCGATGGAACAAGAGTAAGTGTTAACCTTTAATCATGATCTTTTCTCTTTTTTTCTCTAAACTGTTTTAAGAACAGTTTCTTTAATTTTTTTTACAGTACCGTGTACCTACACACATACACAGATTCTTTCTTCAGTATAGTACTATTGTAGTTATTTTCATTATTACTGTATTATGTTTAAGATGTTTTAGTGTATTTGGAAGTGTTTCTTAAGTGTTTTATATTCATAGAAAGGTAAAATATATACTGTATATACTAAGACAAACATCTGACTAACTGACGCTAAATAAGAACTGTATGTACTTGTTCCGACTTACCTACAAATTCGACTTAAAGACAGACTTAGGAACAAATCTCGTTCGTAACCTGGGGACTGCTTGTACATGCATACGTACTTGTATGTTGTGTATATAAATGTATACTTTTAAAAAAAATGGAGGCATTGCCTAGAGCAACCATTCTCAGAGTGTAGCCTGCAGTTCCCTGTGGTTCCCTAAGATTCTTTCAGTGGTCTGGGACATCAAAACTACTGTCATACTCATACTGAGACTCTATTCGCCTTTTCCACTGTGTTGACATTTGCACTTCTGATGCAAAAGCAATGGTAGGTAAACTACCAGTGCCTAAGTGTGAGTCAAAGCATTTGTGCCAAACTGTACTGATGGTTTTTGTATTAGTCACAACCAAGCCCTTGAAGTAAAAATTCCAGTTTCACTCAGAAATTTCCTTGATGAAGTATTACAGTGTTATTAATTTTGTTAACTGTCTACCCTGGAATACATGTCCCTTTTGATATTCCATGTGATGAAATGAGTAGTGTGCTTGAGGTACCTGTGTGTGAAGTACGGTGGTTGTCTTGCAGAAAAGCACGAGTGTAACTGTTTGAGTTGCAAGCTGAACTGCCTGCTTTTTAAGATGGCATACCATTTTTACTTGAAGGAGTGACTAACAAACAAACCACAGTGTATTAGTTTTTATTTCTGTGTATCAGTATTACCACAAGGTCAGTGTCTCAAAGCAACACACATTATCTCACAGTTTCTGTGAGTCAGATTCTCACAAGGCTACATTCAAGGTGTGGGCCCCAAGGCAGTGATCTCATCTGAGACTAGACTGGAGAAGTATCTGCTTCTAAGTTGATGTGGTTGCTGGCAGCATTCAGTTCCTCGTGGGTTGTTGCACTGAACCTCAGTATCTTGCTGGCTCTTATTTGACCCCTTGGCACGTGGGCCTACCCGACATGACTGTTGGCTTCCTCAAAGCCAGCAAGGGAGAGAGAGTCCTCAGGAAGATGGGCACTGCAGCTGTATGCAATATAGTCACGCACACAGAGTCATTTACACCCCGATACTTTTGCCAGATTATACTGGTTAGAAGCAAGTCACAGGTCCCACCCTCACTGAGAGGGAGATCCTGTAGAAGGGTGTGAATATCAGGAGACGGGAATCATGGAGGTCACTTTAGAGTCTGTCCACTACACACAGTTATCAGTCTTGGGTATTCGGCAGACATTTTCTCAAAATTGAACTAAGTGCACCTGCTATTTCAAGGAAAATAACAATAGTGTTTATTTCCAATGATAAAATTTGAACTTTGAAGCAAAAATTAGGATTTTGGAAAAGTTATATCTATCACCATGATCTTTACAACTTCCCAATACTTAAAGACTTTTCCGATGAAGCAGATGTTATTATTGAGTATGATTTTTTGATACTTTGTAATAAACTGTTAACATTTGGAAGAGCTGTATAATTTAGTGAAACCGGATAACCAGTGCATGATGTTACAAAATCATGCATAGGTAAAAGATCCATTTAAAGTGTAAGGTAGACCAGTGATCTTAAGGGAACAACAGAAAGTTTTGTTCAGTGATACAGTTTCAGATTCCACATTGCAAAAAACTTGTAAGAAACTACCAACTGTTGAGTTTTGGTAGAGTATCCAAGAAGCATATTCATCGTTACTCTAAAAAGCTATTAAAATACTCCCCTTTTCAACTACATATCTTTGGGAAACAGAGTTTTCTTTATATCCTTCAACCAAAACAACGTTAACAGATTGGAAAGCAGAGACAGACACAAGACCAGAACTGTCTTTGATTAAGTTAGACATTAAAGAGGTTTGCAAGAATGTGAAAGAGTGCCACTCTTTTCATTAATGTTTGTTGTTGTTGTTTGGAAAATAGTCATTTCTCAAAAATGTTATTTATGTTAACCTGTAATGGGTATGCTATTGTTATTTTAAAATGAATTAATAAACAAATGTTGTAAAAATTTCTCTGTTTTAATTTTTAATATGGTAAATATCAATAGATATAACCCACATAAACAAAAAGTCTTTTGGGTCCTCAGTAATGTTTACAATGTGTAAAGGGGTCCGAAACCAGAGTTAAGAGTACTGCTGCCTTAGAGAAATAGTAGTAAATTTTTCTTAAAACATTTGTTCTTTAGGCAGTAAAGAGAATAACTGCATAAGCACCTATTAATTTTATTGAAAATTTTGAAGTTCAAAACCAGAACTGAATTTAACTATTTTTAGTATAAATAGTATATTTTTTCTTAACTTATTTCGTATATTACTATGAAGTAATGTACATACCTATTAACACTAAAAATTGATATTTCGAGATACTGTCTTTCATAGAGACTTACTAAATTTTATTTTAATTTACACAGAAATGAAAAGGAAGACTTCAACCTTTTAAGTCTATTGCTAAATGAGCTCAACTCGCACTTAAATTTTGAAGATGTTGTGTATCACAAAAGTAAGAATAGCATTGTGCAAACACTTTTTCCCCCTGAATTCTTTTCTGTGTTTTCAGTATTCTGAAACAGCAGTTTAGTAGTCATGTGAGCTCTAGGCTAGTAGTTTAAAAAATCTGGATTGAAAATGAGAGACTTGAGTGCTGATGCTGGCTTTCTTCCTAACCTGAGCGTTATCACAACCTCTCTGGGCCTGATTGTCTTCATTTTGGAAAAGGGAGACCACTGGCTTTTCATCTTGGGTCCTCTTAAGCTTCCACAGGGTATTTCTGATACTCCAAAAACTGAATAGATGTTTGGGAAGTCAGATGACAGGCTACCCAGAACGTAAGAATTCTTAGAGATTAGCTGGAATACAATTAACTCAGTGATTTTTCTCGTGCTTATTATAAACTCTTTGGCATGGGGACGGGGGAACGGAAGAGGAAGCTTCATTATTTCGTGCAGTTTGATAGATGAAACATCTTCAACATTGGACCCAGGGAGAAAAAAGAACACAAGATGGAATGGTATTTTTGGTAATACAAAAGTTAGAAACTAGAGCTTTTTGTAATTCAGAATTATTTTTTCTGTGGGCGTAGTTTTTAATGAAAGCACCTCCATTAATGGTAACCAATCCTGCTGAGCTTTTAAAAGACAGGTTTTGCCAGTTGATCTGGGTGGGGCCTAGGCATGATACATCTAAAAAACTCCCAAGCGATTCCAGTGTGCAGTCCAGGTTGAGAAGGACACGTGTATTCTTGAGTGAACTGAGAATCCTAGTTAAGGAAATTTTCTCTGAAATTTAGAAGCCACTGTTTTTAACAAATCTTGATTATGGTGTTTCATTTTATGTTGTGTGTGTTTATGTTTTACTTTTTAACAGATTATCTCTTTACCACAACATCTCCTTCAGGTAGGCAGGGATAGATTATTATTATCATTTTTAAATTCAGTGTGATAGGGCACGGGCTTTGTAATCAGGTAAACTCAGGTTCTGATTCCAGCTTCATCATCAGAAACCAGCTGGGGCTATATTGGGAAGCTCACTCTACCACACTTAGCATACCTGTTTATAAAATGAGTAATATTAGGTCTTTATTAGTGCTTTTGTGACAACTGCTTGATATATATACTATGAAGAAGCAAGTACATTTAAAATACAGTAAGTGGTGGCTGTCATATTAGTTTGAAAGCTGAGTAACTTGAAGCTCAGAAGTAATTTGCCCAAGGTTACATAGTTAAATAAATGTACAGGTCTTCTCAACCCCCGTCTAGTGCCTGTTCTTCCTTGTCATCATATTTGTTATCTTTCTGAACTGTTTTATAAGACATTAAAAGTTCTCTATTGGAGAATGATTTTAACCAGTTTGTTGAGTAACGTGTGTCTGCTCCCTGAAATTGTGGTACTTCATTAACCAGAGTTGTTACCTAGGAAAGGTGTAACAGTATTAACTTTATTATAAAAACCCCCAAACCCATTGCTTTCGAGTTGATTCCAACTTATAGTGACCTTATAGGACAGATTAGAACTGCTCCATAGGGTTTCTAAGGCTGTAATCTTTGTGGAAGCGGAATGCCACATTTTTCTCCCATGGAGCAGCTGGTAGGTTCAAACTGCTGACCTTTCGGTTACCACCCAAGCACTTAACCACTGTGCCACCAGGGCTCCTTAACTTTGTTATGCTTCTGTCAAAGAACTATTCTGGATAATGCAAGTGCATATTTTCCATTTTTAAAAAATGCATATGTATGGAGGAAATATTTATCTTGAAGCAAGATTGTGCTTGGTTACAATTAAGTCATTTGACATTATTGAGTATAATATACATTAAGGCTCAAATACAGATATTTGCTTACTGTGCCTCCAAATTTAGGAATAGTTTGGATCACTTCACTGCCTGTTTCTATAGCTTGACAAAACTGTGTCAATAGAGAACTTAGTAGCAACACAAAATTCTTGAAACATAATTATCTCTTAATTTATAAGCATAAAATGAAACCATTGTGTTTCTATTGTAAAAGTTATCTTTATTTGGGAGGGAAGTTTAGAAAAGATACAGGGAAGAATACATACTATAATTTTGTTATTTTCCCACTGCAGATGATTAGTATGGCATATAGAGTATATCAGTTGGGACCGTATTGTATACACAGATAGGTATTTCTCTTTCTCTCAGGAACACTGTTAATAGGAACACATCACTGGATTTTCTCAAAAACATGATGTTAAGGTTGCATGATACCATTTCTCCATTGTTGCACATAAAGATTTTTATATTTTTGCTATTATAAATAATTCTTCATTAAATAATTTTCGTTTCCTTACCATAAATTCTTGAAAGTGGAGTAACTGCATCAAACGGTGTCCACTTCTTAAACCCTTCGACAGGTATTGCCAGAATTTACTTGCAGAAAATTGTACCAGAATGTAACCTCTACCTTCCCAATAGTGAATGTCATTACTTTTTAATTTTAACCTTTTTATATCAAACTCATTTTTGACTTACAGAAAGTACTAAAAATAGTAAGCAAAGTTCCTGTACATGCCTCACCCAGTTTCCCCTAATGTTAACATCTTACTTAACACAACCAGGTCATTCACATTAAACTGCAGACCTTATTTGAATTTCACCAGTTTTTCTATTAATGGCCTTTTTCTCTCCCACGTTCCCACACTGAAGTTAGTTATTGTTAATCTCCCCACATTTGCCACATTTACTCATTCTTTCTTTGTGTTTCATGGCCTTGATACTTTTAAGAGTTGTTCGGTACCCTCGAGTAGATTCTGATTCATAGCAACCTGTGTTCAGCAGATCCAAACGCTACCCAGTCCTGTACCATCCTCACAGTCGTTGTTACGCTTGAGCCCATTTTGCAGCCAGTGTGTCAATCCATCTCGTTCAGGGTTTTCCTCTTTTTTTGCTGAACCTCTACTTTACCAAGCAGGATGTCCTTCTCCAGGGACTGGTCCCTCCTGATAACATGTCCAGAGTATGTGAGATGGAGTCTCGTCATCCTTGCTTCTAAGGAGCATTCTGGCTGTACTTCTTCCAAGGCAAATTTGTTTGTTGTTCTGGCACTCCATGGTATATTCGGTATTCTTCACCAACACCATAATTTAAGGGCATCAATTCTTCTTCGGTCTTCCTTATTCGTTGCCCAGCTTTCTCATGCATATGAGGCAATTGAAAACACCATTGTTTGGGTCAGGCACATCTTAGCCCTTAGAGTGGCGGCTTTGCTTTTTAACACTTTGAAGAGGTCTTTTGCAGCAGATTTGCCCAGTGCAGTGTGTCATTTGATTTCTTGACTGCTGCTTCCGTGGGCGTTGATTGTGGACCCAAGTAAAATGAAATCTTCAATAACTTCAGTATTTTCCCTGTTTATCATGATGTTGCTTAATCGTCCAGTTGTGGGGAGTTTTGTTTTCTTTATGCTGAGGTGTGATCCATACTGAAGGCTGTAGTCTGATCTTCATCAGTCAGTGCTTCAAGTCCTCTTTGCTTTCAACAAGCAAGATTGTGTCATCTGCACATTGCAGGCTGTTAATAAGTCTTCCTCCAGTCCTGATGCCGCATTCTTCTTCATCTAGTCTAGTTTCTCGGATTATTCGCTCAGCATACAGATTGAATAAGTATGGTGAAAGGATTCAACCCTGATGCACACCTTCCCTGTTGTTAAACCATACGGTATCCCCTTGTTCTGTTGGAATGACTGCGTCTTGGTCTGTGTACATTCGTGATGAGCACAATGAAGTGTTCTAGAATTCCCATTCTTTGCAGTATTCTCCATAATTTTTGTGATCCACACAGTCGAATACCTTTGCATAGTCAAAACACAGGTACACATCTTTCCGGTAGTCTCTGCTTTCAGCCAAGACCCATCTGACATCAGCAATGATATCCCTCGTTGCAAGTCCTCTTCTGAATCGGACTTGAATTTCTGGCAGTTCCCTGTTGATGTACTACTGCTGCAACCGCTTTTGAATTATCTAAAGAGTAGTGACCAGTTATTTTGTAGAAAATATCTTTAGAAGTATGCTAATTCAGTAGTTAAAAATTGTCATTGTTTTTGTTTGCATTTCTTTGACTAGTGAGTTGGAGAAAAGGTTTTTTCATGTTTTGATCATTTGTATTTTGTTTTTGAAGTTTCTAAGTTTATGTCCTTTGCCCATTTTTCTTTTAAAGTGGCTGTCTTTTCCCCTCTTGATATTTAAGCATTGTTAATTTTAAAATTTTTGCTTATCATAGTTTATAGCATGTAGAATGAACTAAAAGTCACTCTGAGAGCTTATTCACCACAATGACTGTCTTTTATAAACAACATTATGTGTTGTTTTATCAACAACATTATGTGTTGTTTATAAAAGTGTATATTATGTGTATATATCAGTATATTAAGTACATAGTAGTATTGCCATATATATATATGCCAATTATATATACATCCCTAGATTGCATTGAGAATACTTTTCATAATTATTTATAGTAAATGTATTTGTATGTTTACACATATATGTACATCCATATTTAATATATTTTATATATATATATTTTCCTAAATTACGTTGCCTTATACTTGACCACATTATGATTTATCACGTACTTTTCACTTCTCTCATCTTGAGATCCTCCTCCTAGCTAGAACCATTTTTTCTCCTGGTGGAAGGGCTAAAACTTCCCTTGGGCCCCGAGGTCTCCAGGAGTGGAACAGTCGGCCCAGATCACTCCCATGAACCAGCTTCCGCCTAATCTTCCTGGCATTGTTTGTCTTATTTGGTCCCTGTAACTCGGCTGCTAACCAAATAGTCAACAGTTCGAGTCCTCCAGCCGCTCCATGGAAACCCTATGGGGCAGTTCTGCTCTGTCTGGTAGGGTTGCTATGTGTTGGAATCAACTCGACAGCATTGGGTTTGGTTTTTTTGGTTTACTGACCAGGTTGCTTTCACATTTGCCCAACGAAATTTGACATTGCCAGGCTAAGCACAGCTTTCTGTGGGATGATGGGAAGAATAAGGGACCCATTCTCTCTCTTCCTGATCCTTGGCTTTAGGTTTCTCTACTAAAATCATTCCAAATGCCATGTGGTATGCTCTTCCCTAGCCCTGATGTACATTAATGCTAATTGAGTCCCAGTTTGTTTGCCCTGACATTTTGTTTGTGGGGTTTTTAGAGGTATGAAAAAACCAAATCAAACCCATTGCCGTCAAGTCGATTCCGACTCAATAGCGACCCTATAGGACCAAGTAGAACTGTCCTGTAGGGTTTCCAAGGAGCACCTGGTGGATTTGAACTGCCGACCTTTTGGTTAGCAGCCGAACTCTTAACCACCAAGCCACTAGGGTTTCCTATAAGAGGTATAGAAGCTTTTAATTTTTGTATTTATGTCAATATGTTTTCCTCAAATATTATGCTGAGAAGTTGAATTATTTACTGTTTAATGGGAATGATACGTTTTTAGTAGTCCTCCAACGTGTGTCATGTCTGTGGTTTAAAATGGGTCTGTTTCTTCATCCTTGAAAAAGTCGGACTAGAATTTGCCCGCCATTTTAATTGGCTAGTCAAGAATAAGCGTGGCTGCTGACCGGAAGGTTGGTGGTTTGAACCCACAGCCACTCCATGGGAGAAAGATGTGGCAGTCTGCTTCTGTAAAGATTTACAGCCTTGGAAACCCTATGGGGCAGTTCTACTCTGTTCATAGGATTGCTATGCGTTGTAATCGACTCAGAGGCAGGGGTTTGGTTTTGGTTAAAGCAATAGCTTGCTTTCAGTTTCAGTAGATGATAATTTTGGCAGATAGTAATAATTCCATTTGTACTTTATAACTTATTAATAATTGAGTCATCAAAGCTTATCATAATATTGGCATACAGTTAAATTTACCTTTTTAAAAGTTTATGAAACAAAATAATTGTGGCCATGTTGAGTAAATATAATATTCTTTCTTTGAAATATTTTAACAGGGTTGTAAAATGAAATCACGAGTTGTATCTAATAATTCTCCACAGTTACTGTTTGACTTGACCCAGGACACAGGATTATCACATTACCAAGGGGCACCGGCACTTTCTATAGCAGGTTGGTTTTAGCAGTTTTTTATAAAAAGTATAAAAAGAAATTTTAGAAATTTGCAGGTGGAATTGACTTTCTGTTTTGAAGCTCATCCCCTCACATTAGGTTTTTCGTAGAAGGTAGAATGGTTTTAATAGTTTTTGAATGCCTTTCTTGGGTGATTCTATGTAAGATATTATTTCATAGGATATTTTATTTCTTTCTATTAAGTAGGCTAATAGGCTTTTTTGTTTTTTCTGAACTCACTTGGAACCATCCGTGGACTGAAAATTTTTAATATGATTTCTGTGAGTGAAAGAAGTCCTCTGATTAACTAAATACTGTGTTTAAAAAAAAAAAATATTAGTTTCTGTGGCCACTAGTGTGAAAAAGTGTATGGTTATAGTTGATTTCTTAATTAGACTAGTGTCTTTCTTTTCCAAGAAATGATTTAGGTATGATAGTTGATTCTGTTCATAGAGTGCTGTGATAAAATGGCAGTACTAAAGAGATGATGATTTGTTCACAGTAAACTCTCAGTAAATGCCCATTCAAGAAATAATGAAGTTTCCCTGTAGAAGAGTTAAGGTTCTTTGATTGTATACGATAACAAAGTTCTTTATTAACCTAAAATAAATTAGCGTGCTATGAAAGAATTTTATCTAATTGAAATTCCTTGTAATCAAGACAAATACTTTTTATGTAGTCTATTTGATATAATTCAAATATTTGACTAAATAGAGGTACACATGATTTTTTGGCATTTTAGAGTGTTTACTAACAAGTGGAGCCTTGGCGGCACAGTGGTTAAGAGCTTGGCTGCTAACCAAGAGGTTGTCAGTTCAGATCCACTAGCTGTTCTTCGGAAACCCTATTGGGCAGTTCTTCTCTGTCCTGTAGGGTTGCTATGAGTCGGAATTGACTCGACTCGACGGCAACAGGTTTTGTTTGGTTTGGTTTACTAACAGCTATGGTGAATTTACCAACTCTTCCCCAAACTGTTTATAGTTATATATTAGTACTTACAGTGTTTTTCCATTTTGATGATATTTGGTTGGATATACACTTCTCCGGGTGTCACTTACATCGTTATAGACAAGAACTAACAGAAATGGGGACAGATAGTAGTTATTTAAAATCAGCTTTTAGAAAGCACATGAACTTTATTCATAGAAAGAGTGGGAATTTTTGACACTTGCTCAGGGTAAAGAGAGCGACTCCATCTCCCTCTGAATTTTGTCCTGCAGAGTGAGATTACCACGAGCAGTACGTAAGGTTATAGTTGGCTTGGATGGTGTAGGTTCGAGCTCTAGTCTTAAGAATTTTCTAGCCTTTGTCGAGAGAGTCATTTAACCTCTGTACACGTCAGTTTTCTCCTGTTATTAGAATGAAGATTTAAATCTTCGTTACATAGGGCATTCATACTCCAGGCTTTGTCACGGTCATTTGGACATACAGTTTTGATTTTTGCTGTGCAGGTGGTCCCCGACTTACAACGTATTTGAGTTACAACGAACCGTACTTAATGACCTTCAGTTTTTTTATGATTAATGTATGTATGAAAATATATGTGTAAGTTTATATGTAATGCTTCCAACCCCTAAATACAAATAAAGATCGGATTTATAAAGATACTAATAATAAAAGACAATAATAATGAAAACTAAATGGGAAAAATGAGATACTCGACTTCCATCAGAACTGCTGTGCGGCGAAGTCATTGGAACGGAGCTGTAGTAAGTCGGGGACTATCTGTATTTCACTTAAGACTTTTTTGAGGCCCCAATAAGATAGTGAAATGTGAAAATGCATTACAAGCTTTAAACGGTTTGACAGCAAACACTTGTTATAAATGATAATTATGAATGATAATGTGCTGTGTGCTCAGAAGCACAATTAATTGACTACTGTCTAGGGTGCTCATGGGAAGCTTTGAGAGATTGGATTGGAGCTTGATCTTGAATGAGAAGAGAATTTTTACTGGTGCAGATAGAACTGTTGAAGGTAGGAAACTGCACAATCCAAAGACAACAGAGATAAATAAGTTAAAGGGTAAATTTAAAACTATTCAATGCAGGGTGATTTTAAGTTTGAGATTTTCTCATATTAAAAAAATTATATTAAAACAGTCTGTCCAGCTGTTATGTAATCATTTGCTTAATCCAGAATACCAGCACTCGTTGACTTTTCAGGTAACCTAAGCATCTCAGAAGAATGTTAATGTGATTAAACAATATCTTTCCCAAGTGCCTGCAGTATAGGTTTCAGTGATCGTGTTCTTTGAAGATAGGAAAAAAAGTCATTTTTATGTTATCTCAAAGGATGATACAGATTTTACACAGGAGCCCATTTTCCTGGCCAGTTTCACCACATTAAAAAGCTAACAGGTGCCGCTATTGGAAAAGGGTTTTTTTCCCTTTCTAAAGTAAGCTAGTAGGCATGGTGTTGCAGTGGTCAAGAGCGGCTACTAACCAAAAGGTCAGCAGTTCAGATCCACCAGCTGCTCCTTGGAAACCCTATAAAGCGGTTCTACTGTATCCTATTGGGTTACGATGAGTCGAAATCTACTCAACTGCAGTGGGTTTTTTGGTTAAAGTAAGCTAAGATATAATATATTTTATTAATAATGATAATAGCTGTCATTTATTAAATCCTTCCTGTGTGTCATCTGTTGTGTTGGGTGCTTTAAATACATGATTTTACTCGATCTTTAAAACAGCTCTGTAAAATAAGATATTGCAGTTCTTATTTGACAAAAAAGAAAACTGAGACTTGGAGAGGTTAATTAAGTTAGCCAAGAGTACACAGCTAGTGAGTGACAGAGCCTGATTTGAACTTATGTTGTCTGACTTAAAAGCCTGGAATAATTCTGATATATTTACTCTACCACTTCTGTTAGTGTACAGTTGGAAGCATTACAGTATGTTGGGCAGTTTTAGAATAACTTGTGTGTTATTTTCAAAAAGGAATTATGCTGGCCTGGTAATAGCCTCAGTATGTCTATTTTTCTTGCTAATGCTCTAAATTATATAATCTTTTAGTCTTAATGGTTTTCAAATCAAAAACTATTTTTAGCAACTAAATCCTTATACAAACAAAATTTTGTACCTAAATCTAATAAATAAAATGTACAAGGAGAGTTTCTTTGTGGACATGTACAGTATATTCCCTAAGACCACCCATTAGGTTTTGGGGAACATAGTCTGAAACAGTTATACTAATTCCTTCCATCAAGAGCCCTTTTGTATGAATGACTGGGGTATTACCATTCAAGACTGGTTGTTTCCAATCTGCCCTTAGGAATAAATAGATAATTTAACCTAAAGCCTTGAGTAGACCACCTCTCAGTTTGTTAGGTGGGGAAAAAACTAACTTCCCATTAGATATTTTAAGATATTGTTATTTAAAAAGGGTGTTTTTTTTTTTAAATTTTATTTATTTTTTTGTTGTTGATAATGTACACAGCAAAACATACACCAATTCAACAGTTTCTGCATGTACTGTTCAGTGCCATTCACCACATTCTTCGAGTTGTACAAAGCATCTTAAGGGTCTCTCGGAACAAGTATTAAGTGTGTTTTTTTAATCAACTCAAATGCATTTAAGCATCTAAAGATAATTTTTTGTAGGAATTTAATTCAGAGTATTCTCTTTGCTTTAATTTTTTTTTGCTTGGAATTTTTTACCCTTAAGTTTTTCCATGATAGCTTTTTATATTTCTTTGTTTGAAGCCATACGTAGAATATTTTCACCTGTAAAGATTATATCGTGAATTATTTCAATATATGTGCCCATAGTAAATGTGCAGTTTCTTACCACCTACGGGGGGCAGAACAGTTGTCCTTGAGTTGACTCTGACCCGTGACGACCCCATGTGTGTCAGAATAGAACTGTGCTCCATAGGGTTTTCAGTGGCTGATTTTTTGGAAGTAGATGACCAGGCCTTTCTTCTGGGGCACTTCTTGGTAGACTAGAACCTCCAGTCTGCCAGTTAGCAGCCAAGTGCATTAACCATTTGCACCATCCAGTCACACCCCCTGAGTTTGGATAAAATCAATTTTTATCATTCTTTATTGCCATTTGTATGATATAATAATTCATCTGTAGCCAAAACCAAACCAAAGCCATTGCTGTTGAGTCAGTTCTGGCTCATAGCGACCCTATAGACGAGAGCAGAACTGCCCTGTAGGGTTTCTAAGGAGCAGCTAGTGGATTCAAACTGACGACCTTTGGTTTAGCAGCCAAGCTCTTAACCACTGCACCACCAGGGCTCCAGTTCCTTTATATTACTTTTAATTTAGCTCCAAACTATTGTTACTTAATTTTAAGTATAAGGTAACTTTAGTAGCAATTAAAAGCAATGCCTTATACTAAAATATTTTAAAATATCCTTCCTGCTATTTAAATCATTGTAGGTATGAATGAAAGTTCGTTTGTATCAAAACGTCCTTCTACTTCTGAAGTAAACAGTGTTAATCCCAAAAAGCCTAAGCCCAGTGAAGGTGTTTCTGGAACAAGTTCCTCAGGAGCATTCTCTTCAGTTACATCTGCTTCAGTGACATCTCCCCAGGCTATGCCATCAAAAGGTAAATGTGAAGTCTGGCATATAAAAAAGAAATTGTAGTGTTTGTACATACATTTTAGAAATTGTGATGAATTAAAAAAATGTTACTAGTGGTTATACAAGGTTAAAAAACAATTTTGAATCATAAATGCCCTGAATTTATTTTAGGTACAAATACCTCATCAAATCAATCTAAAAATGGAACACCGTTTCCAAGAGCTTGTCCAAAATGCAATATTCATTTCAATCTTCTGGATCCTTTGAAAAATCACATGAAGGTAAAACTTTTTTCAAAACTTAATTTTAAAAAAGTTTGCAAATCTCTAAAAATATTACAAATTGATTTGCAGTAAGTACTGGTTTGTCCAAACATTTAGATAAGAAATCTCATATTAGTATTTTCAGATAACTTAGGTAAAAACACATGTTCATAATGAGTATCTTCATATGAGATTTTGAAATGCCTTCTGAAATCAAGTAAAAAAAATTAAGTTCATATACATTATAGTGTATAGTTATTGTATTTTAATTTAAATGAAAATAATGTATTAATCAGAATATTTTTACCAGATCATGCCATTTTTCAAATGTCTTATAAAACAGGCATTTTATTACATGTTTAATGTTTCATTTAACTTAAAAATTCTACTTAATGCTCTACCAAAAAGGTTTTAGTAGATATTGCAGTACCGTACTGTGTCTGTGTAAAGATGATCTGAATTCTCATTGCATGCCCAGTGTAAATGCAGGAAGGTGTAAAGGAGACGAAAAAAGGCAGTTTAGATTACATGAGGAAATGGAGGGAGGAGAAGGGAATAAAGACAAGGAAATAGATTAGGAAAAGTTCTTGCTCGCTTTTTAAGAGATTGACAAATTTTTATTGAAATTCAGCATTTTAGGAAAAAAGTAGGAAAAAAAAAGAATCTTTTTAAAAATTCTGAATACAATTTCTTTATTCATGTACAAACCTATATTTGATCTGCCGCTACTTCGAGCTCATAGAATGTGGCCCCTGATAACTGGACTTTTTGTTTTCTTTTTATATGAGAGTTATTGTGTACAGATGCTGCCAGTTTTCCTGTCTGTCTGGTGTTTTGATGAGATACTTGATATTTTTGTTTTGCATTACAGATGGAGAAAAAAGGACTGTGTTCTTTAGTTATCTTTAATTAATTAATAATTTTAAAAAGTCTGTCTTATTTGCCTGGTTTCCAGTATGACTCCCAAGGAAAATTTTTTTTTATTATTTTGTTTTATATCCTTCCTGATTTTCTTTCTGGTACAAGTAAACCTGAATGTTCTTATTTCCACTCTTTATTTTGTGCACAAGTTGTGGTATATTTATAGCATATTTATATTTCTTCTGTATCTGAAGAAAGTGGCAACCATTCTCTAAAATGTAGCTTTTATTTATTGTAGCATTGTTTGTGATTATTCATATTGGAAACAACCAAAACTTCATACAGTAGTCATGTAATAGAACATATGGCATTTTAAAAAAGACATGTATCTCTATAATAGGTAATGACATATTTTTGAACTCAATTGAATCAAAGTATATAAGCATTTGAATAATTTTTTATATGTGTTTATATCATAAAGAAGTCTGAAAGAATGATCACCAGCTCTAGGAAGGGGAAGTTTAAAACTGGAGAATTTTTATCTTCTAGCTTATGTATTTTTATATATCAATTAAATTTTTTATAATATTAAGTTAAAGATTTCCATTTTGAAAAATTAATTTTTAAAATATTTGTGTATGACGTTTTTCTATTATTATGGATAAGTAGAAGATGACTGTATCACAAAGATAATTTTCTTTCAATGAAATATTTAAAGCATAAGTCAGACATTCTACAGTAATAACAGTTTATTGATCTAAGACTGTATGCCAGACACAGTTCTAAGATTTAAATGTATTATTTCATTTAATCCTTGTAAAGTTATTAGAGATAGGTATTTTTCTTATTGATTTATAGCCAGTTCGTTGGCGTAACTGGGTAAAGCCCAAGTTCTCACAAATACTTTTTTCCTTATTGAAAAAGTATAAAAAATTGCCTTCCTATATGACAGCAATGAACAGTTGAGATTTGAAGTTAAAAACACACAACACCATGTATTAGCACCAAAAATAATGAAATACTAGGTATAAATGTAACAAAATATGTACAAGATAATCTATATTAGGAAAACGACAAAACTCTGATGAAAGAAATCAAAGAAGATCTAAATAAATGGAGAGATTCCATGTTCATGGATATTATTAAGGTGTTAATTCTTTCCAACTTGATCTATAGATTTGACACAATCCCAATTAAAATCTGAGCAAGTTATTTCATGATCGACAAGCTGGTTCTAAACTTAGACGGACAGGCAAAAAACCTAGAATCCACAATAGTCAAGAAGAACTGAGTTGGAGGACTGACACTGCCCTGCTTCAAGACTTAATATAAAGCTGCTGTGATCAAGACAGTGTGCTATTGGTGAAAAAAAGAAATCGATCGGTGGAACAGAATAGAGAGCCTAGGAATAGAACCACACAAAAATAGTCAACTGATTATGACAAAGGAGCAAAGACAATTCGAGGGAGAAAGAATAGTCTTTTCAACCAATGGTGCTGGAACAACTGGACATCCACATGCAAAAAAATGAATCTAGACGTGTTGTGTGCCATCGAGTCAATTCCAACTCATAGTGACCTTATAGGACAGAGTAAAACTTCCCCATAGTGTTCCCTAGGCTGAAATCTCTGCAGGAGCAGATCTCCGGGTCTTTTCTCCCACGTAGTGGCTGGGGGGTTCAAACCACCAGCCTTTCAGTTAACAGCTTAGCACTTAACCACTGTGCCACCAGGGCTCCTTTAATCTAGACATAGAGCTTACATACTTCACAAAAATTAACTCAAAATGGATCATATATCTAAATGTAAGATGTGAAACTATACATACTCTAGAAGATAACACGGTAGAAAAAGCTGGGTGACCTTGGGTTTGGTGATGACTTTTTAGATACAACACCAAAAGCACAATCTATAAAAGAAGAAAAATATTGATATAAGTTAAAGATTACATTAAAATTAAAAAACTTCTGCTCTGCAAAAGACGCTGTTGTTCATAGAAGAAAAGAACTCAGGAGGGAGAAAAGATTTTCGAAATACGTCTGATAAAGGACTTGTATCCAGAATATACAAAGAATTTTTAAATGTCAACAACAACCAAAAAATTCAGTTATAAAATTTGTAAAAGATCTAAGTAGAAACTTCACCAAATAAAATACAATGATTACAAATAGGCATATGAAAAAATACGCAATATCCTAAGTCATTAAAATCAAAACCGTGGCTGTAGAGTTGATTCTGACTTATGACTCGATTCATGAAGGGATTGCAGATCAAAACAACGAGGTAACACTGCGCGCCTATTAGAATGCCTAAAATCCAGAGCGCTGGCAACATCAAATATTGGTGAGGATGTGGAGGAGCAACAGGAACGCTGGTTAATGCATTTTAGCCTGAATTCTACTTTGATCAGGCTCACACCCTTTCTTTCTTACTGTTTCTGTTTGCATGGTGTATTCTTTATTCATTCTTTTGTTTTAAACTTGTCCGAATCACTTTGATATAGGTATGCCTCTTGCTTTCACCAGAGTTGTTTTTTCCTTTATGATCCGATATGAAAATCCCTTTTATAGAAGTAGGAATTAAACCCATTTATAGTCATTGATAATGATAAATTTATTTGGTTTTGGTTCTGTCATGGTTTTTTGTTACTCATTTATTTATTTTTTAAAGTCTTTCACTATGTGATTGCTTTGTGTATATGTAGTTTGGAGTTTTTGGAAAGTTGCGTTTTTGTTTTATCTTTATAACATTATGTAATTCCAGGAGCATTCTGTTCCTTTGGACATTCTGTGCTGTATTTTAATGCTGATTAAAGTAGCTTTATGTTGCCTATTTCTAGCCCATTCTTGCCTTCCCCTCTGGTATCCTGGTTTGAGTCAGTATTATCTTTCTGGGTGTTCACCTTTGTAGTGTTAAAAGTCCTCATATCTGTATTACTTAATTTGGTGGCTCTAAAAGGTATTCCTTGAGGCACAGCTGGTATGTGAGAGACAGTCTGTGAACTTTCTCGACCTCGTATTCGTTCTCTTCTCCCCCCGCTCCCGGTTGTTGATCGGTGGTTGTATCATTTTCTCGTTGTCAGCGCTTACAACACTCATGTTCAGTTTTCTTTACCTCATCTCCACATTTGGTTTAGTCCTGTCCCACAGTAAATGTATTCTGTGTTCACCACCAGTCTTTTTGTCATGGTTTCTCTGGTTATCTCTTGCTTGGCTAAAGTTCATCCTTTAAGAATTTCCTCGAGAAGGGCCTGGGAATATCATTCTGTGAGTTCTTTCATGTTCAAAACTGACAGCTGTCTATTCTTGAGGGACAGTTTGGCCAGATATAAAAATCAGTTGGATCCCACTTTGAAAACCATTTCCTAGTATTGGATGTTGCTGTTGAGAAATCTGAGGCCAGCCTAACTTTTTTGCCGTTTGTAAGTGATTTGATCTTTTTGCCTGGCTGTCTACCCAATTCTTTATTTTTGATAATTTTACAAGGATATTACTTGGTGCTGGGAATTTTGGATCAATCTTCTCTGGCATACACTGTGTTCTTTCAACTTGTGTATTTGTGCCCTCCTTTATTTTAGTACAGTTTTCTTGAATTGTGTTTTACAGTATTCTACACAGTTGTTTTGCTGTTGGGAGTAAGTGGGGGGGGGGGTAGAGGTAGGCAAGAAGTCCTTGTATCTGTTTTTAGATATTCTTTGCCTGACATTCTTAACATTTTCTCTGCTCCTTTCTAGCTCTGTTTTGTTTTGTTTTTAAATAATATTTGCTTTTCTCATTGCTACTTTCTGTATACTTTATTTTGCAGTTTCTGTTGTTAATTGCCGTTGAGTTGGTTCCGACTCATATCTACCCCATGTGTGCAGAGTAGAACTGCCCCACAGGGTTTTCAAGGCTGTGAGTTCACCCCTGTAGTCTTTCTTAATTTGTCTTTATTGCTCAGATTTTATTTTTTCCTCTACTTTTCCCCTCAATTTTGTCACTGTTTTGTGTCTTATTACTGTCTTGCTATCTCTTCTTGCTTTGTGGTCTTCCAAATAGAGACAATTGCTTCATTAAGTTTTTAAAACTTGTTGCAAAAATGTTGGCCACTATTTTCATTTGCATCTGCTCCGTGGCAATATATTTTTGGTGAGTGTTTTTGTCTGAATTTTACGTTTTCTTGTTATTCTCCTCTTTTTATCTTAAGGTATTTTTGTTTAGGTGTACATTGCTATAATATTGACTGAGTGGGATTTTCTTTGGCCAGCTCTTTTGTACAAGGTGCCTTTTGGTAAGCATGGGTTGGCAGGGTAGTCTTAACGGCCTGCTAGCTGTTTTACACAACTTTGCTGCCACTGGGCAGAATGCTTCCTGCAAGTGTAACTTGTTTATCGGATTCCTTATGTAACATTGCCTTCTCTGCTTCGCTGACCCCAGCTCTGCTTTTTTGCAAATAAAGGATATAGCTTTGCATTTCAGGATGTGTCCCTGACCTTGAGATCGCATATTTTGGCTGGCATTTCTCAAAGGTCTGCAGCCATTGGGTCCTCCTGACTTCCCTTGCTCTACTTCCAGTTGCATGCCTTCTGCCTGATGTTGGCTACTTTTGATAGTGCTTTCATATATTATGGAGTCTGTGGGTTTTAGCTGGCTCTTAGTTTCAGTGAAAATTGAGTTTGTGGAATTTGGTTGTTGTGACTTTTGGATGAATTCCAGGATGAGAAGAAAGAAGTGTTGATTCATGTAGTGTGTTTGTATGGTAGGTCCTATTTTACTATTTTAAAATAGCATATTCCACCTCCTTTGCTCTGAGATTCCTGCCTAGTTCCTAGGTTACGAACAAAGCAGCAGAACATGGACTGTCTACTTGGAGGAGCAGAGATGAGAATGTTTGTTACGAACAAAGCAGCAGAACATGGACCGTCTACTTGGAGGAGCAGAGATGAGAATGTTTGTTACGAACAAAGCAGCAGAACATGGACCGTCTACTTGGAGGAGCAGAGATGAGAATGCTTGTCAAACTGCAGTGTGTGTGCCATTAAAGGGACTTTGTATTTGCTAAGAATGTTAACCAGGGAAATGAGGGGAAACCAGGGGTAGTAGTCAATGGCTAGAACCAAAGAGGTACTGCTTGCTCAGCCATGCCTGCCATAGCTTACTCTGTCCTTTTATAAAACCTTAGGTTTAAGCTTAGTTTTCATCCTTTAGGTTGCTTTGTTGCCCATATTTTCTGTAGGATGCTTTACTCTCCTCTTTGTTGATAAACACCCCCATCCTAGTTCACTACGCTTTGTTGTTCATTCCTGGTTGTCAGTGGTTTATTATTTAGCTCTTAGGTCAGAATCTAGAATATTGTTTTAAGGGTACTGTGAACGAGGTCTGTAGGTTTTTATTTTTAAAATATGATTTTTTTTTTTAAACTTTTCTGTAAAAAGAAAGAACTTGGAGGAGCAGCAGGAAATTGGTCATCTATTATGTGTATCACAAAGGTCCCTGGGTTGCAGAAATGGATAATTTGTGGGTATTTTAGAGTAACCTTTAACCTTCGTAGATGTACCAACTTAGACATTCCTGGAGAATGTAAACCTCGCAGCAGACTCCACTGTACACTGTTTAGATTACTTCATAGCTACCAGAAAAAAATCAAGTCCCAAGTATGACTCAGTAACTTGTATAGTCTGAAAGCCAGATTTAACGTTCGGATGCCTAAGATTATCCACATTTTTAATTAGAGAGTCTATTCTTTATTAGACAATTTCTGTGCATTATAATTATTTTTCCCATTGTTTGAAATCTTTCCTTTAGGAAAGCCGCAGATAAAGTGAGTCATTTTGTCTGTCAGAATGATGCTACTGATCCACATCATTGGTAGAAAGACATATTTTGAGGCATTTTTCTAATAGTGCTAGTTGATTTCCTCTGAGCCATTCTTTTTTCTCCATTTTTCCTTAAAGTCAAAAATTGCATTTTTTAGAAGGAACTTAGCCTGGTAAAAGTCCTTAGAAACAGCCTGACTTTGCTAAGTTTGAACTCTTAAAAACTATATCTCAGGAAGAATCTAGAAATGTAAATAACCAAATCCTTCTCATCTGTCTTTTTTGTTGTGGTTTCATTTCAACTGTGTAATTACAGACTACAGAGGACCAAATGAGAGAACTAGTGCGTTCATCCTAGTTTATCATAGATGCAGTCCTAACTCCTAAACACAAGTTATGTGACTTTGGGGGGCTCCGTTTTTATTCAGTATTTTCTATTTTTTCTTTCTTTTGGATCTATTTTAGAAGTTTCTTTTGTGTTTTTCCTTTGTAGATTTCAAAATTGTCAAAAACAAAGCAAGTGAGCTAGCATTTTACGTGTGGCAGAGAGGAGGGAAAATATTATTGTCTTAGAAATGGAATAGAGTTGTGTTTAGATTTTCAAACTTCATTATGTTGCTACTAATTTACTAAATGACACATTTAGGAAGAGTATAAATTAATTGGTTTGAGTTGTAGAAGAATTACCTGGGTGGCTTGTTAAAAATATAGATTCCTGGGCCCTACCTCTAGACATTGATCTGAAGTGGGGCCCAGGAATTAGCATTTTAACAAACAGTTCTGGTTTTTCTTATGCACTCCTTCCTCGGATTGTCCTGAGAAACACTGCCCTAGAGAAATCTCACTACTGAAAGTTTATGTATAGTGAATGAATTAGTTATATCTTGTTGGGAAAAAAAAGGCTCATATAAGGAAGTATTCTACATTAGAACCAGTTTATGTGACATCTTGATCTTACTCATGAGGTAAATTTCCCCTTCAGATATTTAAGCATTCTAGATTTCAAGATATAACTGTTGACATTTTCAAAATGATGCTTCTTTTTTTATGTCCAATGTATTTGTTAGCACCTTGACTCTGGAGAATGTTAGGTTAGCTCTGTGTAAAGTTCAGTATCTCCTAGACTTTACGAAATTTGATCATTAAACATATACGTAAGAGCATGTAAAACTACATTTCCTTTCTATGTCTTGACACGGACATGAAATGAATGATTTTTGGCTAAGGATAAATTTTTGTTAAATATTTACATCTGGGAAGGTAAATTGCGAGGAAAAGGTTATTAGCTCTATAGCCAGTCCTGGTCTTAAGGTTTTTTATTTCTTTTTGAATTTGTCGTTTTTTTTTTTTGTTTAAGATGATAGGTGTATGTTGTTTGAATTTTTTTTTGTTGTTGTACTTCAGGTGAAGGTTTACAGAACAAATAGTTTCTCATGAAACAGTAGTACACATATTGTTTTATGCCATTGGTTAACAACCCCACAACATGTCAACTCTCTCCCTTCTCGACCTTTTTTTTTGGGGGGGTGAAAATATACATAGGCAAAGATACACCATTTCAAAAATTTCTACATGCACAGTTCAGAGACATCGACTGCGCTCTTCCAGTCGTGCTGTTATTCTCACTTTAGATGAAGGCTTACAGAACAAAACAGTTCCTCATTTAACAGTTACTATACATGTTGCCCTATGACAATGGTTAACGACCTCACAACACATCAACACTATCGTTACTCAACCTTGGGTTCCCTATCACCAGCTTTCCTGTCCCCTTCTGCCTTCTGGCCCTTGTCCCTGGACTGCTGTGCCTCATTAGTCCCATTTGGTTTTATGGGGCTGTCCACTCCCTGGCTGAATGGTGAACCTCGGAAATGACTTCACCACTGAGCTAAAAGGGTGTCTGGGGGGCCATACTGTTGTTTGAATTTTTTAGAGTGTAGGTATTCACCACCACATTTTGGTGAATATTTTTCCAGATACTTTACTGAGCAGTTTTACGTGGTCTGGCCTTACTTGTAAACACTGAGTCATTTTTGGTATCTAACTTTTTCAAGAGATAAATAAGGCTTCTACTTTTTTCTCTTTCAGTATTGTTGTCCAGACATGATAAATAACTTTTTGGGACTGGCTAAAACAGATTTTTCAAGTACAACAAATAAAAATAAGACTGTTGATTCAGAGAAAGGAAAGTTGATCATGTTAGTTAATGACTTTTATTATGGAAAACATGAAGGAGATATCCAGGAAGAACAGAAGACTCACACAACCTTTAAATGCTTCAGTTGCTTGAAAGTTCTTAAAAATAATATTAGGTATGTAAATATTTTTATTTCTATTTGAAAGTTAGAATGCTGTAGATGTAAGTGCTGTATCTTTATCTTGTACCATCCTAGGTAAGCAGTTCTGACATTTCCTACTAAGAACAAAGGCTGTTGTCTTGTTGAAAAGTTGGTATCTTTTCTTGTATTTTAGAATTTTGACTCATGTATCTATTTAGTTGTATTTCAGCGAGCTTCAGCAAGGACAAAGCTTATTTTAACTTAAGGGAAAATTAACTTCTTTTCCATATATTATCAGTAATCTAGGAATTTTCATGAGGATTTTTTTTTTTTCTGGTTTCTTTTGAATTTTTTTCATATCACAAGAAAACAGTTTATGTTTTATCCAGTTTGACCTTCTCCTTACTAGTCTTATCTACTGCTCAACTCTTTCCAATTCATATTTATAATTTTTGGATCATTTACCTTGTACAGAAAGTGATCTTTTCTGGTGATCTTTTTTGGAGAAGTACCAGTTCTAGGAAACATGCCTGCTTTGATTTTTAAAATTTAATACTTTAAAAAATGGAGCTTTAAATCCCCATGGAATTTTTCAGACTTTATACATGTATGCTTTAAATTTAGGAACTGGTACTTTGTAATCTTGAAGTTATGTAACATATTATGTAACATTTCTCCTAGGTGAGTTAGTAACAAGAACAAAGAAAAATATGTATCGATTGATATTTTTCGGTGGTTATATTGCCTGACATTTGTATTGGATGAGGTTGTTTTTCTACAGTTTTATTATAAAAATCTTCAACTACTCAGCAAAATTGAAAAAAATTTTACATGAATAACTTTTCATACTTACCGCCTTGATTCTGCCATTAACATTTTTACTATACTTGTCTTACTGCCTAACTATTCATCCTTCCTTCAAACTGTCTGATTTTCTTGATCCAGCAGTGCTGCAGAAGATAGGCCTGGCAATCTGTTTCTGTTAAAATTACAGCCAAGAAAACCCAATGGAGCAGTTCTACTCTGTAAAACATGGGGTTGCCTTGAGTCTGAATTGACTGTCAGCAGCTATCAACAACATTCATCATTTCTTCAAACTATCTGATTTTCTTGATGAATTTCAAAGTTGCAGGCATCACTGTACTTCCCTTAGGTGGCGTGTACAGATATAATTATGTGAATATGATAGCTATCAAGATGTGTACATATATAGACACGTATGTATACATACACATACATACTATATGTCTTTTTATGTTTACCCTTGATAACTGTCATTTATAATTAGCATTCTTAAGCACCTGTGAGTTACTTTGGGGCCCAACGTTTAGTTTATTTTCCTGTGAGTTCTTGGGGCCAAAAGGAAGCACATAGAATACACACAGGAATACTGTGTTTAGGGTAGCGCTTTACAGTTTTCAGAGTTCTTCTACATGTTATTTTATATGAGTTGTCACATTTCTTTACCTCTGTGAGTCAGAATCGACTTGATGGCAACGGGTTTTTATCAGGCCTTAACAGCCATCAATAGCTAATGGTCCCAGTAGCTTAATAAAGAAGGGAAATCGTGCTTTGGCATATTAACACTGAAACACTATTATAATAAAACCCTGTCATCTCTTTCCATATTCTTACCATTTTAATAGTAAAATAGAAAATCACATCAGACAATCGTGTTAGTAAATGTAAAATACATAGGAAAGTGGTTCACTGATTTAGTTCCTTGTTACACTTAAATGTTTTATGTATGATATTAGAAGTTATTTCAGCGATCTTTTTTTTTTAAGTTTTCCTTTAAGATTGAACCCATTGCTGTCAAGTCGATTCCGACTCGTAGCGACTGTAAAGGACAGAGTAGAACTGCCCCATAGGGTTTCCGGGGAGCGGCTGGTGGATTTGAACTGCCAACCTTTAGCAGCCAAGCCCTTAACCACTGCACCCCCAGGATTTCCCCTTTAAGATTAGCCCATTTGATATTAAACATGGAAATAAAAATTTCCTTTTTTTTTTTTTTAATTATTTCAGAAGACTGGTTACATATTTCTCAAGTATCAGGATATCTAGAAATTTTAAACAGACAGTGTTTGATAACATCTAGAAATTGAGCGTTTTGGGAAAGATTATGTAGTCAACGTAACCTTAATGGTAGCACTGGATAACCAGAGCTGTTACGTTTGTTTAATAATGTATTACCTTCACGGTGAAAACGAGGATGGCAGACTGATGGTTTTGGAAGATGGTAAGAAACTGATCGCTCAAGATTTCCACTCTGCTTTGTCAACATATTGTGGTACAGTGGGATTTTTTTCTACGCTGAGTGTCACCAAAAACAGGATTATTTTGGGAGCATCCTTGCAAGAAATGTGTTTTGTTTTGTTTCCTCTCTAATTTCCATCTACTGATTTCAGAAGTATAAGCTCCTGATGGGCTCATAGAATAGCAGAGATAGCTAGTTGGTTGAGATTATTTTATATAGGTATATTTTAAGTTTAAGGTTGTGAGCTCTTAAGTTTAATGGCTCATGATCTTTTCTCTGTATGTAAATATTTAGCCAAGACTAGGATTTTCTGTGGAGTCTCTGGGTGGTGCAAATGATTAACATGCTTGGCTGCTAACTGAAAGCTTGGAGGTTTGAGTCCACCCAGAGGCACCTCAGAAGACAGGCCTGGTGATCTAATACCAAAAAATCAGCTATTGAAACCCCTCTGGAGCACAGTTCTATTCTGACGCACATGGGGTCACCATGAGTTGGAATCAGCTCGATGGTAACTGGTTACTGGTAGGATTTTCTTTAGGTTTTTGTAGAGCTTGTGTTAAAACTGTAGGAGGAAAAAAGATATTTCTAGGTGTGCCATAATCAGCTCTAAAGAATAGTAGCATAGACATCTGAAAAAGACATAAATATTATAAGCTTTATGATGATTGATATCCATATTGAAGACATTATCAGTTAGTTTAAAATTATTTTCTTTAGGGACTCACAATGAATTATTGTTAATAGTTGACTGAGTCTAAAAATTGTTGTTTTGATTGAATAACTTTACTTTCGAATTGATCAAAAAAGCTTCAGTAAGCTCTTTTAAATAGGTATTCCCATTTATATTGCACTCTCTGCCACTGAAGGTCATAGTTTCTGCTCATCAGAAGCCTTTTAGGGAAGCTGAACTAGCAGAATGTAAAACTGAAAAATGGACGTTGCCTACAAAGGGCACAGTCTGTAAGTTAAAATGAGCAGTCTGTGCTAACAGTAAACCAGTATCATTAAATAAAACAAAAGGTTCTTGTAATTGTAGGCATTAAAATTGCTATTATATGCATTCAGAAACCAAGACACAAGTAAAAATACCAGTAATTTGTCTTTTAAGCAGCTGGAACCTATTGTATATGTTCAAGGCTTTAAAAGATTTCTCCCATGACTCTGTAGCTGCTGGTGGTGGTGGGGTTTCCTTCCTTTCAGTACTTTATTTTAAAATGTAAATAGCATTTCACGTATGGAAGAGAAGCCTGCTGTTTCTTCTTTACAAAAAAAAATTAATAATCTGAAATAATGATTAAGAGCCAGTGATGTTTCAGATTAATTGCATAAATGAATTTTAAAACAAAGATGAAAAGATATTTACTTAGCCACTTAATGAAAGTGGTTACTTAAAGTGTATAGTTTTTTAGAGGGTTATAAGGCTTTGGAGGATTTATTTTGAGTAATACACCTGTGTTTTAAGATTTAGGTTAAGATACTTCTATGTGAGGTTATTTTGTTTTTCAATCTGACTTTCCGCACCTGTCGACCATCATTTATAGGTTCATGAACCACATGAAGCACCATTTGGAGCTTGAGAAGCAGAGCAGCGAGAGCTGGGAAAACCACACCACCTGTCAGCACTGCTACCGCCAGTTCCCCACGCCATTCCAGCTACAGTGTCACATCGAGAGCACACACACCCCCCACGGGTTTTCTAGTAAGTTACTGGTTGATTTACATGTTAAATATTACTGGTTTTTATACTCAGAAGTGAGAGAAAACCTTGCAGATTCTGATAGAAAAATAAGAATAAGAAATAGACTTTGGAATTAGAGGGCTGTTTAGAAAAGTTAAGTTTTAACTTCTACAAATTTTTAAATAAAATTAGTTACTGAAATTGAAGTCCCTCTTGTAAATATTTCATTACTGGAAACTCCCTTGGCCTAACCTGTGTATTATATGTGGAGAACTAAATTAGAAACTTCATATTCCATGGTTTTCCACTATGAAACCAGTGCCCTTCATTTTCATTTCAGTAAGAAAAGTAACAGCAAAGGTTAGTTAAAAGTACAGATTTTGGAGCTAGACAGCTTGGGTTCAAATCCCACGCCTACGTTTTTCCACAGCTGTGTGATCTCAGGCAAGTTATTTCCTCTTTGAACAATGGGGATAATAGTGGTACCTTCTTCATAGTGTCGTGAGAATTAAGTGAGTAATCGTAAGTAAGTGCTCAGAGCTCTCTTGGCACAGAGTTACCAGCTCTGTAGCTGTTAAGCCGCAGCACGCTGCTGCTCCTGTTAACTACTATTGCTGCTGTTGATAGGGATGTGTGTTAAGTAAATTTTTTATATATACGTCTTCAAGTAGTGTAATGTCTTTTCTTTCCCACTTTTAGCTATTTGTAAAATCTGTGAATTATCATTTGAAACAGAACATGTTCTTTTACAACATATGAAGGACAATCATAAACCCGGTGAGATGCCATATATTTGCCAGGTATACACACATTTTATTATGTGTTTGGTTGGTTGGTTTTTGTGGTTATAAGATTTTTTTTCTGTAAATGATGAGATGTTAAGTATTTAGGCTACGAGGGTGGTTAGTCCCTATTGGGGCTACTTGTCCTGCCATTGTAACCTGGTGGCAGCCAGAGACAATATGTAGATGAATGGACGTGGCTGTGTTCCAACAAAACTTTATTTATGGACATTGAAATGTGAATTTCATATAAATTTCAGGTCTCATGAAATATTTCTCTTAATTTTTTAACTATTGAAATAAAATTGGTTAGTCACATTGAAGTCCCTCTTGTGAATAATTTACTAGTAGAAATTCTCTTGACATAACTCATACCTAGTATGTAGAGTCAGCAGCAGGCTGGATTTGGTCCTCAGGCTGTTGTTTGCTGACCTTTCCGCTGGATAAGGAAAAGCCCTGTTGGAGAAAGACAAATACATGGATTTATCTTAACATATAGGGAAGAATACAGGTATACCAGGGAAACAAGAGATGCTGGTAGTTACAGAGCACCCAGCCAGATGCTCTGGGACTAGTGTATTTTTGTACTCTGAAGGAATAAGAAAGCAAGGTAAGGATAAATTGCCACTGCCATAGCCTGAAAGCCGTTTAAAATCTAAAAGAGAACACTGTGTTTCACGTAACAGAAAAAATTTTATAGGACAAGAATTGGTTAGAGCTGGAAAATTCAAGACAAGAGGTGGTAGATCTGACAAAAAGGAAGGAATTTAGTTATGTTCTGGGAAGCATCCCTAAACTTTGAAAGGTAACTTTTCTGTCTTGAGGATTATATTTGGTACTTGGTTGTGTAGACATCAGAGCTGAATTAGTAATACATAATGTTCTTCTAAACAAATGACCCATTATTGCTACTTTTTAATTGCATGTCAGTTATATATTTTCAAGTTAAACTAAACCTTCTTTATATTTCTAGGTTTGCAATTATAGATCATCATCATTTTCTGATGTCGAAACTCATTTTAGAACATCCCATGAAAACACTAAAAACTTGCTATGTCCATTTTGCCTCAAAGTTATTAAAATTGCAACACCCTATATGCATCATTACATGAAGCATCAGGTGAGATTCACCAATTTTTATTTGTTTACATTGTCTTAGCAAAAAGACTGATCATAACTTAGAACATTGGTTTGATTTGTTCAGCGAAGGAAGTAAAGTTGCTCTAAATAACATTATTCATTTTCAGTTTATGCTGAGTTAATTGTGAAACTTCCAGTTCTTTTCCTTGCTTGCTTTCTGTTGATGGTGTAGCTTGTAAATAATGAAAATTCTGAAAGATAGCTAGAAATAGGAACCCTAGGGTTGAGAAGAAAAAAAAGGGGAAGATAAGTAGAATATCCAAGAGATTTCCAGGCCCCAGGGGAGGTATAGGAATGATTTTGAAGGTAGTTACGAAGAACAGAGGAAAAGATGAGTTTGCACTGAGGAAGATAATCTTGTTTTCCTCTTTCTTCAAACTCTGTTTTCACTTTCTAGCCCCATTATTATTGTGAGAATTCATGTTGTTGCCATCACTGACCCAGAGTGGCCTTTTATGGCTGCCAGTGGCAAAGGAAACGTAATTAAAACTTGCTGCTAGACATGTGAACTCGGCCAGAGAACGGTACTTAGGTTATACCTTGTTTCCTGGATGACTTCTGCCAGTTCTGCTGTACAATTTCTGCTCTTCCCTGGAATTCTGATATTATGCACGCTAGTTCTTTTCCTAAAACAATTAAACCATCCTTTGTTTGGGCTGAAAACATTGGTGAAACAGCGCCATTGCCAAAATCAAAAGTCAGTGGATTTACCGATCATGCGGTCGAGGAGCCTTGGCAGCGCAGTGGTGAAGCGCTTGGCTGCTAACTGAAAGGTCGGCAGTCCAAACCCACCAGCCGCTCTACAGGAGGAGGATATGACGGAGGATATGACGGTTTGCCTCCATAAAGGTTACAGCCTTGGAAACCCTATGGGACGGTTCTGTTCTGTCCTATAGTGTCACTACGACTTGGAATCGACTCAAGGGCAACAGATTTGGGTTTTTTGGTTTGGATCACGCCATCAAGTTTTGCCACCCCACTAATCAGTTCCATGCGTTTTTTATGGATGGTTAAATCGGCACACCAGTTCATTGGCTCTTGTGCTCACATTTCTTTCAGTTCCAGTCATTAGGCAATCGTGAAACCAGTTAACGATTGTTAATTAGAAAAAATCATAAAACTACAGTTCCAGTAAGTAAATTTGGGGTCACCTTTGTTGTGATGGTAATGCCGCCCATCCTGGAGAAGCTCTGGCAAGATCTTTCTTTTCTAAGGTTTCCACACAGACATTCTATCAGGTTTCAACAGGTGTTTGCCCTCATGTGTTCCTGGTAAACAAATTTGGTAAAGACTGGATTTACAAAATCAGCAGTATTGTTTTTTTGGTTTAAACAGGACTCCTCAGAGCTTTTAATAGGCCAGTGAACATTGTAAATCTCTAAGGAAGGGTTATATAGTATGTATCATTCCCCAAACTTATTTGATCATTGAACCCTTTATTTTGTACAATACCTGTTAACATATCTTGAGGAACAGAGTTTGGGAAACACGATTCTTGATATTCTGTATTTCGTCTTTGGCCTTTAATTTTGAAAAGGAGAATGAAGTATAAAACAGTAGCTCTGACTGTTTCATTATAGGACTTTCAGCATAATTTTTCTCCTGTGCTTCACTAAGCTGAGAACGAGATGTAAATGTGGGGAGAAAGATAAGTATAAAGAGATGTGGATCTACTGTGTGGGCTCGTGGTCTGTACTCAATCTGCATGCCCTGAGTTGTGTGTTTTAACTTGTTATGGAGACCCAGTTTTATTTCTTGTTTGCTTGGGGTATGTAGAAAGTATCAGCCAGCAGGAAAGAGGGAACGATCTGTTAATAAGAAAGATCCTCAGGCATCCTTTAGGGTGTTTACAATTTGCATGATTATTTACAAAAGACTGGACGGTGCAAACAGTGGTGTGCTTGGCTGCTAACTGAAACATTGGAGGTTCAGGCCCACCCGTAGGTGCCTTGGAAGAAATGGCTGGCGATCTGCTTCCAAAAATCCGCCTCTGAAAACCCTGTGGAGCACAGTTGTATTCCGACACACATGCAGTTGTATTCCAACACACATGCAGTTGTATTCCAAGACACGCAGCTGTATCCCGACACACACGCAGCTGTATCCCGACACACACGCAGCTGTATCCCGACACACACGCAGCTGTATTCCGACACACACGCAGCTGTATTCCGACACACGTGCGTTTGTATTCCGACACACGTGCAGTTGTATTCCGACAC